TGGATCAAATAAATGCAGGCTTGGTGAGCAGAAGAGAATTCTTTAAAAAACATAAAAAATCTTACAGTTCAAAAACCTTTGACTGGTAGTGTAGGCTGGTTATTCTTATAGATTGAAACGTGCATTAACCAGGATAAAGAGTATGAAACGTGCTCCGAGTTGCTTCAGAAAACAAAAAAATAGAGCAACAACAAAAGCATGTTGCTGGAAATGGGTTTATTATTGAAAATGCAAACTGATTGTGTGCCAGCAGGAGGCGCTGTGAGAGCGGTGGAACTAACGGTTTCTGCAGTAACGGCTGTAAACAAAGTAGCTCCGCTCATGAACAGTACTTTATCCGAGAAAAATGCCATCTAAACTATTCTGAAGACAGTCGGTTCCCTTCAGAGATACATCAACACTGGTTCCCGAGTAAACCTGTTCTGAGCTCGGGACCAGTTTTCTCACGCTGCGCTCAATTAAGGGAAGCCAAACACACCGAAAGTGGGACAAAACAGCACTGTATTAAAGAGTAATCTGTCAAAGGCACGGCTCAATGGACCGAGCTGCGCAACAGCTATATATATATAAGCAGAGACTAATGATTTACAATACCGTAAGCACACTGAGGAGCACACCCTCTTGTATTATATATTTTTTTCTTTAAATTTTGTACTTTATTGTTGTTGTTGTCTGGTTATACTTTTAGCACAATATTGCAGTTATGTACCATTTGAATTCCATTATTAAATATGTAAATTTTATATACATATATATTAGGGCTGCACGATAAATCGCATGCGATATTTAACGCGCATCTTGCACGTCTGAGAGTGCAGGTGCCAGCTGCAGCCAGACCCTTCTCGGTGTGTTAGATGAGTGAGACAGTGCTGGGCTCCGGGACAGTTTTGAAAACCATTTCAGAGACATTTTCTTTTCTTCCGTTTGTTTTTGTTTTTTCTGGACTCCTTTTTAATGGTTAAATTACATTTTATTAATCAAAAAGCATGTTTAATTAATTAAAATCATGAAACTTAAACAATTTAACATCAATTTATTAAAAGTTTAACAAAAATTACATGTTT